GAGGCGGGCGGGGGCCTGGCAGCGGGCTGCTCTGTCGTGGTTTTTATGGCGGGTGGCGGCGCCCGGAGCGGGCGGCGCGTGGCAGCGGCTGGGCGGTGCCTGCGTCCGTCATGCAAGCGCTGCGACAGACGCCCGGAACTGGTAGGCTTTTGACTGTCTGCTTCCGCTGAAGAACGGCTGGCTAGGTGGCTCCCTCTTCGTCAGTCGCACTAGTTGGATTGGGAGGACACGCGTGCGGTACAGCAGCCGCCCCGCCGTCTCAGCCTGATCAACCTTGTGTCGGCCGCGCGCCCACACTCTGTGATAAGACTACACACCTGCGCCCAGAGAATGACAGCAGCGACCGCCTCCGCCCCTGCAGGGTTATGTGCCTGTCCCACGCAGCGGCATCGTCCCGCCCCCCTGCCCTGCTGCTGCAGGCGCAGGCGGTCGCCGCGAGCCAGGTGAGCGCCGCGAGCAGTGACAGCGCTGCTGCAACGCGCCTCTGCATCGACGTTAGCGCCTGAACAGTGCACAACAAGGGGCGGGGAGTGTGTCGTGTCAGGCTTGTGCAATGTCTCGCGTGTGCACAGCTGGCGTGAGCTGCAGCACCCAGCTGAGCAATTCACCTTGCCCTATAATTGCTACGATCGTTTCGATCGGTGCGAGCGGGGCGAAGCGATGGCTAGATGGGACGCGCGGTCGCAGCCATGGGGTCCAAACCGTGGATGCAACTTGGCAGCTGGGCCATACGTCGAAGCATATGCTATGAATGTCTTTTCGGCCGCCGCACAGCCCCCTCACCCGATATCAAGGCGGCAAATCACTGCCCGCGCCCGCAGCACAGCATCGCTGGTCGTGCGCCCTCGAAAACTGCAAATGCTTCCATTCATTGCATTCACACCCACCCGAGGCGCCAGAAGATGCCAAGGCTGCGAGCGGAGCTGGCAAAGTCCCACTCTCCCGGCACGCCTCCTCCTTCCGTCCCCTCCTCGCGGCAGCAAGTGAACTAGCGCCTATATGCTTTCTTCTAGCAGCTTCGTCTTCTGTGCTAGAAGGATGCCGATCTGAGGGAGATAACTGCAACTCTGACAATGTGTATTCTCAGAGACTGTGTGATGAGTTTCCACCTCTGTGCAGTGAAATTTTCAAAGTGCCAAAGTTGCGTGATGACGCCCTGTGCGGGCGCAGTAAAGGAGTACGAGCTACGAGACGCTGCGGAGGTGGGCGGAAGCCGGCCCCTGTCCAGGTCAGGCTGCAACGATTTGTGCGCGCTCATGCCCAGCCAGACACAAGAAGAGAAGCGTAGGTTTGGGGGAACGCTTTGCATCGCAATTGCCTATGTCTGCAGCATGTCTGTACCACCCTTGAGGAATGCAGTCCCGGCACCGATCCTGGCGCCAGGCGTGCACGGCTGAGAGTGCACGACAGTCATGCGACTTTGGGCCCATTGCGCGGGCCGGCAAGGCCGCACCCGCCCCGCCTCCAGATGCAGCACGTGCGCACCTTGATTTCTTATTGGTTGTGGGGCACAGATTGATCACACGGACCAAGCCTCTTGGCCTGGCACCAATGTGGCCGGCCTCCCATACTTGCCAGGGGCCGAGGGCGCTTTCTAGTCGGGAGCAACCCATCCTCGGCCTTTCTGGCTGAATCAGCCCTTGGTCTTGGCAGGAGGTGTCCACTTAAGGCAGTTTCAGAGCCTCGGCTGCACTGCCACATTGAGCTGTGAGGGCCTCCAGGTCCTCTCGCCACCCCCTCCGAGTCAAGCAGAGCTTGGTCAACACCCGTTGCGGGCATTCCCCACGCACAAGCCTGCAGCTGGTAGAACAAAAGTTGCAACTGCCGCCTGTTCAGCCCCACGGGTGTGCTGTAGCCGGTGTCAGAAGGCCTGGACCCGGCTTCGTAGCCTGGGTGGCCTGGATCGACATCACCAGCTCATGCTCCCTGCACTTCCGCCACTGCTCCTCCAAGTTGCACGTGCCCCGCCACACGTAAGTCTGGACAACCGTGCATTTGAGCGCTGCAAGCCCGCTTCCTCGTCCTCAACCATTGGCTCGCTGGATACGGGTAGCGCCTTGAACCAGCGCGTCGCAAACTTGCCGTGGACAATCCCCAGGGCCAGGAACGATAGGATTATTGCAGTTTATATTTTGCATCATGCGCGCTCTCGGCGGGACACACAGCGGCCGCTTGGCGAGGCTTGAACGAAACGCACAGCATGCACTTGCCCGCGCTCCAGGCGCGTCCTGCAGGCGGATACAGGTGTGGTTAATGTCTTGTATACGTCATGGGTTGCGCGAGATGCCTGGCGGGTGCCCTTTGTGTTCAGCGCCGGCATGCAGCGACACCGCAGTCACCCCTCTTGTATGACTGCCGTTTTATTGATTCAAATGGTCTCGGCCGCCCAACGCCCGTGCCCCTATGCTGACAAACCCTGTGCTGCCAACGACTGCCTGATCCTATGGCGCAGGCCCCCGTGTGGTGCCAGGCGGCAGCCACGGCAGCTGCCCCACAGTTGCACACGCAAAGCCCGGCCGACTCGCGCCGCGTTGCGGCGCAGCCGCCAGTCGCAGGCCCCCCTGCTACCCTGGTGAGCATCAGCAAGGCGCTGCTGGTCGGCCGCCCGCGCTAAAGGGCCCTACCAGCCATCCGGCCCCCAGCCGCAGCTGACGCGGGCACACAGGCGTGCCGGAGCTGCCCCCAGCGTTCCCCGCCCCATCGAGCGCGCCCTTCGCCCGCCCCGCTGCCGCAGGCGTGTGAGCTGGTGCAGGGCAATCTGGCGCGCTTCAGCGAGACGGGGACGCCCACCAGCAGTGCTGTGCCCACGGTGGTGTTGGTGCACGGGATACTGGGGTCCCGCCGCAACTTGCAGGGCTTTGCCCGGATGATCGTGGAGGTGAGGGCGGTGCCAGGGGCCAGGAGGGCAGAAGTAGGCCGGCAGCCAATGGCCGGCGGGCACGCCGGATTGGGAACGCTCGCAATCAGGGCCCGGTGTCTGGCAATCGAGTGTTGGGGGCGCGTCTCCAAACGGCGTTCGATTTGCAAAGAGATGGGTGACGACGGCGGGGGCTGCCCGGCCACCACCGCGGCCCGCTTTCCCACGCCGGCGGCGCCCCTGGACTGCGACGAAACGCTTCCAATACTCATCCAGGCATCCCCCAGCCCTCTGTCGCCGTCCTCCCGCCGCGTACGGCCAGGGCTTCCCCGCGTGGCAGGTGCTCCTGGTCGACCTACGCTGCCATGGCGAGAGCGCCGCCGCCGCCGGCGGCGCGCCGGCGCCGGGGCCGCACAGCGTCGACGCGGCGGCGCGCGACATTCTCGAGCTGCTGCGGGCCCGCCGCGTGTTCCCGCACATGCTGATCGGCCACTCCTTCGGCGGCAAGGTCGTCATGTCAATGGCGCGCCAGTTCGGCGGCGGCGGCGGCGCGCGGCTGCCGCGGCCGGTGCAGGTGTGGGTGCTGGACGCCTTGCCGGGGGAGGTCCGCGCCGGCGGCGGCGTGGACGGCGCGGCGGACCGCCCGGGGGAGCTCATAGCGGCGCTGCAGCGGCTGCCGCTGCCGCTGGCTGGGAGGGCAGACCTCATTGATTACATGACCGCCCGCGGCTTCAGCCTGCCCGTCGCGCGCTGGTGGGTCCCGCCGCTTGGCGCGGGTCTGGGACGAGGCAGATGAAGGGCGCCCTGCAAGTGGTGGCCTGGGCTGCAGCCACGCGGCGGGGGGCGGCCGCAGCTGAGCGTGTGCACGCCCGTGTCTGGATGCGCGCGCGCGCGCACACACACACACACACACACGCATGCGCGCGCATAGCACGCTAGCTCCTGCACGCTGG